AATCTTGTTCAGACCTATGTACTGAACATGACAATGTTTTCTGCAATGAAACCAGTAATGAAAAATTAACTATCCGCTCATGGAGTGCAAAACTACCTACCGTAGGCTGCAAAAATGAGGAAGCAGAAGAAGAGAGCAAGAAAAGTAGTCTTGTTGAGTTTAGCCATCTCTATGTACTCTTAATTTCTAGTGTTCGTGATAATATACAAGTGAGAAGATGTATTTATAGATAAACGAAGCAACTGCACAATTCAACATATTTTTTTAATCAAATCTGAATAATAAGTGATGAATAAATCAATCAAGATTGATATTTACGATTTCCTTATAATAATGTCTTTGAATGAGTTTGTGTACAAAAATAAATAAATAATTGATAATTTTATGATTCATATTTTTTTAACATGACATCTCAGCTTGAAAATGATTCAATTAATTAAATATAAATTAACGATAAGAATAAAACTACTTGTAGCTGATTGACAATCTAAAGTCTCATTAAACCTACAGTTTAAAATATCGATTCAATCAAACAAAATTCTATCCTCATGTCAAAATAGTCGAGTAACTCATTTTTGGATATGGTCCAATCAGCTGAAGATGCGGTATCAATTGTAAAAAATATTAGAGAAAATATTTATGCTCGCTATAAACCCATCATAATAATTTGTTCATATAATTTATTTTATTTACTTCTATATAAATTGATTTTTGAGATAGACTTGGAAAAAAAATCTTTTAGATATTTCCTTGTACTATAATAATTCGTAAACGTACATGTGGGTACCATGAACAAGTCATGAAAGTGATCATACATGGAATAACATATAATAATGTTGACCATGAAAGTACCAAATTAAAAGTTTGAATAGATCATAGGTTCCCACTATGAATTCATGGACTTCCTCAAACATGTTGATGATCATATTTATTTGTATATTCAATTTGCATAAAGTATTACAAGGAATTTAATATTTACAAAAGTTGTATATATAATATTGAATGAAGTAGAAGACGAGGTTATTTGCCATTGGGTATTCAAAGTTTTCAACGGATGTCCAAACGATATTTGATTTGAAAACATATAATCACTATCAAGGCGATCTTCTTAATATTTTAAGATTCTACACCAAGGCTTAACATAATATTACCAAAAAAAAAAAAAAAAATACTGAACGTAACAACTCAGTCCATTAAAAAGTTTAAATAAGGAATGGCCAATAAAAAGAGAAAATAAGCGCGCGATCATGACACCCTATTCAAACCGAAAGAAGTAGGTGATCAACTTATGAAAAATTAGTTGGAAGAACTTATTGTATACTTCTAGGGAAACCTAAGGGAAAATTTTGGATTTGCATAGAGAAAAAATCATTAGATTTTGTCTCTATGGACTAGAGAGAAAATGGGATTGGCATGTACATGAAACCTAATGTTCTCTCTAGCTGTAACGAAAGGAGTTTACCGATCAAAGTGTAATTTTTGCGTGTTATGCGTCCTTGACAATCACACAATATTACAGGATCAAATTTGAAGAAAATAAAAGGTGAAGGATCAAAGTTATGAGTTTGGGAATATGGAGGATCAATCTCAAAGCAATTGGAAGTGATAGAACCTAACTTGAACGATTTAAAGATGGAAGGACCGAAGGTGAACCTGAGCTAAGGGGCCACTTTGTTTTTGGTTTTCCACTCGTGCGAAATTGTTCCAAAGGTGGCTTTTTCAGTTTCACGGGTGCAAAACTCTACTCTTTGATGTTTTTTATGCTATTGAAAAATCTCAAGACATTGTACAATGATCCGAACACTTTGTCAAGCTTTTCCACTCTTTCTATGCCTCTTCCTTGCATCGATTTCTTCGCTAAGGTAGCTTATTTCTTCTACTGAACCAGAGACTTTCTTTGTGAACAAGAGCCCTTTCATCTTCCTCTTGCATGTAGCACTCCACCTTGATTGTTTCGAGCCTTTTTTCTCCATCCAATGAGAAGTTATGGATTCCATTAAATATGTGATTAAAATTAATTGTTGACTTTAACTTTGATAAAAATCTAAACTTTAATTTCCTTCAAACATGTATTTATAAACATGAAAGACAAAAGCAACGGATCTCATTAAGAAAAAAAAATTATTGCAGAAATTCAATTATTTTGGGTACATATTACCATTATTGGACCGTGCCTTTGGATTTTCCATTGGTGAAGCCACAAAATCCATTTCTATTAACAAGCACAAGCTAAAATATTTCAACGAACAATTGTTATTTTAAGGTAGTTGAATGTTACCTACAAAAAAATGTAGGTAATTTACCAACGGGTTTGCTACAACTAGGTGTACATAATGTCCAACACCCGCGAATGATGAAATGCTATTTGGACATTATGCATACCAGTGTATAAATCATTATGTATAAGTAGAATAATTCTTTACCGATAGTATATTTTCATCACAGGCCTATTCGTGAATTCAGCTACCAATTTTCAGTGTGTGGAGTCAATCAACAAATCAATCATACATCACCTACGACAGAATATCCAAATGTAACCAAGCATTACCTACGGGAAAAATTTATGGATGTCTCTGTCCATCATCAATTATCATTCTGTTGGTGATGGCCATAACTCGTGGAGACTTTCACTAGTGGATAATTCATAGGTGAAGAGTTTTACATTTTAAGAAAAATGAAAAATTATTGAAATTTTATTAAATACATTCTAATAGCTCAAATATCAAAAAAATAGTTGTCAAATAGAGGCTAAATGTGTCTATGATGCTTTATTTGCCTGAGTTTCATATTAACCATGGCTAATCAAAATCAAGTTTTTATGATGGTTCCAGCTCTGTCCAAATCTATATATGGGTGTCCAATGATGTTATTATTACCTATAATTATGCATTTTAAATAGATTTCATACATTTTGGAGGTGATATTGTTAGTTTTTGATGCCTAATAAATTCAGATGATGATTTAAAATGATGTCGGATAATTATATCGATATCATAGCACGTGGCTCGACCTGGAAACAACCAATACACTTTGAGGATGGCACAAGTTGTGATTAGTATTTGGCTTTGGTTAGGTGATGATGTTGGTTAAACAAAACCTAAGCATTGAGGTTTTCATGAACAAATAAATACTATTTTCATTCTATTGAATGTTTGTCAAGTCCAACTTGCAAATTTGTACTTTCATATTATCTTTCTCAATTCACAACCTTTCAAATCAATACATGATGAGTGCTCCATACTCATTATATTTGTATCACTTAATTTGTTATTTTGCTACCCTTGAGAGTGTTTAAAAGCAATTTAATAAGTATTTTGATATTGTGATGTAGGTTGATGAAATTGAAAGAAATAAACAAAAGTTAGCGAAATTGGAGAAAAATGCCAAATTGTAAGAGACCCAAAGTTCGGGGACTAAAGTGCAAATATTCAAAAATTGTGTCGAACCTCACGATGAAGATTCAAGAGTATTAGGAGTCGATTGGATGAAGAAAGATGTCAAAGAGATCAAATTTAGGCAAAATATAATAACAAATCAATTTCCTACTAAAAAGTTATGTTCCTTAATATCAGTCTTACATTGAGATCCATTTTTGACATAACAAATGATCGAATTGGAGAATGATGTCTGTGGGTTAGCTTTTCAGGGCATCTTGAATCACTTCAATCGGACATCCGACGAAGAAGTTATGGCAAAAATACCAAAGGAAGCGAAAATTGCATTTTCCATGCGAAGTGGGCACCATGGTGTCCAGTGCCCACGATGATGAAAACAGTAATGAACTCGGCACCAAAAAATGGGGGTTTTTTAATATCTTTTTGGAATCTTTTTTTGGCCCAACTTAACCTTAATTCGTCCAAGAACTTCAAGACACTATAAATACCATTTAAAAGACCTATTTTCTAAAAGAATTGGAGGGGACAAGATTGAAGAATTCAACCACACAATTTGAAAGAGGCAAAAATTGAATACACCAAAAGGAAGGAGGAACAATATCAAGGAACAAGATTGAAGATCTACCCAAAAGACTAGTTTTTTCTATCATTTACCTTATGTTGTTTATTATAATTTGTATGATTTTCATTTATTACATCATGAACTAAACAAATTATCTACGGGTTTGATGTAGTCGAATCGAGATTATGGTTAGATGATTTTATAATAATTTCTTTGATTTTTCCGCATATATTTAATTGTGTCATGCTTTTAATGCTTTAAATTACTTGATCAATAATTGAATGAATAGATGCTAGTCAATTTCGGCACTCAAGAGAGGGGAATTTAGGCGTGATCATAAGATTGATACAACAAAGGTTTTATGGGTTTCGAAAGAAAGTATAAAGTCTGTGAAACTTACTCCATAAAAGAATAAGGACTTTTATAAATTCTTGATTTTCAATTCGGAATAGAGATATTGGAATTGGAATCTAGGATTATTTTCTATCCGGTCCTCGAGAGAGGGAGAGGAATATATTAGGATTCTTACTTTTAAATATGGGAAAAATAACTGGAATAATTGGAAATCGTTGAACCGTAATTGAGAGTAAGGTGAAATCAATCCCTAGGCCTTTTCATATTGATAACTTGCATTTATCAACTTTGTCACAACGAATCACATTACATTAGTTTAACACAATCATCCGTTCATCTGAATAAAGTAGGAATTACACAATTATAATACTTAGTAAAAATTAAATTATAATCCCTATGGGTTCGACATCCTAACTCCTTTACTATATTACAAAACTTGACATCATAAACTTATGGTATAATCACATTAAATAAATCACGTGGCAATACACATTTAAGTTAGATGTTGCTAAATCATATCATCTAAAATCTTAAGTTGTTAATACAAGCATACTCTTCATAGATGGATGACAACGAGAATTTTACTCTGCACATTTACTTACTCTAATGCCACATCGAACCATCTCATATAAAATCTTATGCTCATCTTTAACACATTGGACCACTTTATATTTGATCAAGAAACAGACTACAAGAAACTTAACAATCTTCATTATTAAGGTAATACAAATACAACAAAGTAACAAGAACTGATAGATACAACTTGCTGCAAGAGCTCACACAGGGAGCTTTTATTTTTTAAAACGAAAGCACTCGAGGATTGCAATATTATTGGAAACATAAACACAGTACAAACTTGCAGACAGGCACAAGGCGTGACCTCCAACAAGTACATAGAACTATGTAATAACAGACGACATTACTATATATAAGTTTCATTGATTAGCAATGACGGTAGTAGCAGTAGCAACCAAAATGCTTATTCTGGTGATTTTTCAGACAAGCACCATGGTAAGCCCCCTCGTGGTGAATACAGTAACTACTGCATTTATGAGGAGCACACAACCCATGCCATTCTTTGCTAAGTTTTCTGCAAGGTTTTTTTGCCTCCCCCGTTTGCATCTCTGCATAAAAATTGGATTGGGAAAGATAAATAGTATCAATTATTCGACAAATTTACATCTATATATTACTTTAGTTTTAAGAACACTTCTTTTATGGTAGGCATTTATCTTACTCAATTGTATATGTTCTGTAAGTTTCTTATCATATTAAGAAAAAAGAAAAACAAGCCAAAATTCACTTGATACAACACATATATAGGAATGTTTTTTTGGTGAGAAAATGTCAAGAAAAACTATGATGTGACGTGCACTAGCTTGTGGCTGAGAGATGGAAAAAGGGTTCTTTAAACTGTCTTGGGTTATTTTCTTATGATAATCATATGCATGGTGAATGGAAAAATAATGAATACGGTGATGACATATCTTGTTACATTCAACTAGAAAGAATTAGACTTGATTAAATTCGGAAAAAATATAGTTCTTTCAACAAATCGCATTCAGTCCTATGTACTGAACATCACAATGTTTTCCACAATGAAACCATTAATGAAAAACTAACTCTCTGCTCATGGAGTGAAAAACTACCTACCATAGGCTGCAAAAATGAGGAAGCAGAAGAAGAGAGCAAGAAAAGTAGTCTTGTTGAGTTTAGCCATCTCTATGTACTCTTAATTTCTAGTGTTTGTGTTAATATACGAGTGAGAAGATGTATTTTAGACAAACGAAGCAACTGCACAATTCACCATTTTTTTTAATCGAATGTGAATAATAAGTGATGACTGAATCAATCATGACTAAGTATTTATGATTGCTTTATAATAATGTCTTTGAATGACTTTATGTACCAAAAAAAAAAATAATAATAATAATAATAAAATAAAAAAAATTGGAAAAAACTTTATATCTCAGCTTGAGAATGATTCAGTTAATTAAATATAAATATATGATAAGAATAAAAAAACTTGTAGTTGGTTGACAATCTCAAAGTCTTCACCAGACCTGCAGTTAAAAATATCCAATTAAATAAAACGAAATTCTATACTCATGCCAAAATTGGTAGAGTACCTCATTTTTGGATATAATCCAATCAGCCAAAGATGCGGTATTAATTAAAAATATATATATATATATATTAGAGTAAATATTTAGAACACGCTATATAAACCCATTATAATAATTTGTTCATATAATTTTTTTATTTGCTAATTCGATATAAATTGATTTTTGAAATTGGAGTGGAAAAATTCTTTGAGATACTTCCTAGTATTAAAATAATTAGTAAATGCAATGTATATAGAAGGAAAAATGCAATGCACATGAAGAGGTGACGTTAGACTTTTCGATCTTCTAATCATGGTTTGAATGATAAATCCCCTATAATATACATGAAAAGCACGTCAATTTTAAGTTATCTTTTCATTCTGAAGGATAGGATGAAAGAAATTTTCGTTTATTCTACATTTTTTTTTTTCAAATTTGGTAGGAGTACTCAAGAGAAAAGTGTATGAATAAACATACACAAAAGTGTCAAGAACAAGTCATGAAAGTGATTATACATGGAATAACAAATAATAACGTTGACTGTGAAAATACCAAATTGATAGTTTGAATAGATCATAGTTTCCCACTATGAATTCATGGACTTCGTTGTACCATGTTGATCACATTGACTTTTATATTCATTTTGCAGAAAGTATTATGAGAAATTTAATGTTTATGAAGGTTGTATGATCTTGATTCAAGTAGAAGATGAGGTTATTTGCCGTTGGATATTCAAAGTTTTTAACAAATAATCAAACTTTTGATTTGATATTTGATTTGGAACATATAACCTTTGTCAAGGCGATCTTATTAATAAGATCGATATTTTTAAGATCATTCAACAGCAAGGCATAACTAAGGATTACAATTAAGAAAAACATGAACATAGCGATCCAATCCATTTAAACGTTTAAATGAGTCACTATATGTTACAAGTAAATTCCAAGTTGCTTAAATATAAAATAAACAATCAATATATAAGGATTGATGATACTTTGGGTTAATAGTTTAAGATGGAATTCCAGTATTCTGGATGTGCAACAATTCAAACTAAACTAAAATTCTGATCCTTGAGAGTGTTTGGATGGCTATTTTCGTCCACTCACTTCTGGGGAACAGCCAATAAAAAGAGAAAATGAGTGCACGATCATGACACCCCTCACAAAGAAGTAGGAAACCTACACTCACCTCCCCCATCCTTTAATTAGGGGAAGGAAAATTTTGGATTTGAGTAGTGATAAAATCATTAGATTTTGTCTCTGTGGACCAAGGAAAAAAGGGACACGATGTTTAGATGAAACTTAAAGTGCTCACTAGCCATAACGAAAGGAGTTAATTGATCAAAGTATATTTTTTTGCATGTTATGCATGCTTGACAATCACACAATTTTAGAGGATCAAATTTGAAGAAATAAAAGTTGAAGGACCAAAGCGATGAGTTCAGGAAGATAGACGATCAATCTCAAAGCAATTGGAAGTGATAGGACCTAACTTGCATGATTTGAAGATGGAAGGACCAAAAGTGAACCTGAGCTAAGGGGGCTCCTATGATTTTGGTTTTCCACTCGTGTGAAATTGTTCCGAAGTTGGTTTTTTCAGTTGTCACGGGTATGAAACTCTACTCTTTGATGTTTTGTACTTTTGTGAAAAATCTCAAGATATTGTACAATGATCTGAACAGTTTGTCAAGACAATGAATTGCACGTATGTTTCTATAGATAAAATGTACTTGGACAACAAAGAAATCAGCATAATTAAAGAGAAGAACTTTTAGGCGATCAAGAAATGAATGAATACGAACAGAGATCAAACACAATAAGTACAAGAAATGAATCCACAAGGATATACAAATCCTAAATATTTATCTTCAACTTCAAACAAAAATCATTGAAGTCATAGAGAAAAAAATAACACATTCAAACCCTTACTATTCATCATCAATCAATAAAAAAACAAATAATAGATTGAAATTGTAAATTTTCAACCAAAAAATGGAGAAAAAAAACCTTCAAAGCCTAATTTTCAGCTCAAGTATAGAAAATTAAAAAGCATTTTCGAATTACCAACACTTCAAAAACAAGAAAATGCCTTCGAAGACTAAATGTTGAGGTCACCGACAAAAAAATTAGCAAAGACAATAAGTATAAAAAAAATAAAGCCACAGGGACATCAAAATCCTAAACATTCAGCTTTAACTTCAAATGGAAACAACATAGCTCACAGAGAACAAAATAACACATTCAAACACTTACTCTTCATTGTCAACTAATAACTAACCAAATAACAAATTAGAATAATAAATCTTCAACAAAGAGAAAAGAAAAACCTTCAAAACCTAAATTTTCAGCTCAAATATAGAAGACTAAAAATAATTTTTGAACTTTCAACACTTTAACAACAAGAAAACAGATTCGAAGAGTAAATCTTGAGGTTACCAACAACAAAAATAACATCTTAAAAAATAAATTTCAAAACAAAGACAATAAGCGTAAAAATATAAAAATATAAAAAAAAATTGAAGAAGAAGAAGACAAAATGACACTGAAATCCTAAACCTTCAGATCTAACCTAGAACGAAAATAACACAAAATTACAAATAACACATTAAAACCCTAGATATCCAGTCAACTAATAGAAAACCAAAATAAATCTAAACAATAAATAAAAAAACAAAGAAGAATAGTTTGGAAGCATATAAACCATCATTTAAAAAAATAATACAAAAAAAGAACTATAAAAGGAAACAAACTTACCCGTTGGGAAAAATCACCTTCAAATATTGAAGTCCTAAATACCAAGGAAAAAATTGCAAATAAACAAAACAAATTAGTTTATACACAAAATAGGAATGCACAGAAAAAGAAAATATAGAAGACCAAAAATAAATTTTGAACTTTCCACACTTTAATAGTAAGAAGACACATTCGAAGAGTAAATCTTGAGGTTACCAACAACAAAAACAACATCTTTAACATGTAAATTTCAAAACAAAGATAATAAGCGTAAAAATAAAAAAATAAAAAAAATGAAGAAGAAGAAGACAAAAGGACACTGAAATCCTAAATCTTCAAATCTAACCTAGAAAGAAAATAACAAAAAATTACAAACAACAAATAACACTTTGAAACCCTAGATATTCAGTTAACCAATAGAAAACCAAAATAAATCTAAACAATAAATAAAAAGACAATAAAGAACAGTTTGGAAGCACATAAGCCATCATTTAAAAAAATAATACAAACAAAGAACTAAAAAAGGAAACAAACTTACCCGTTGGGAAAAATCAAAATCAAATATTGAAGTCCTAAATACCAAGGAAAAAATTGAAAATAAATAAAACAAATTAGTTTATACACAAAATAGGAATACACTATAAATGAAAATATAGAAGACGAAAAATAAATTTTGAACTTTCAACACTTTAATAGTAAGAAAACACATTCGAAGAGAAATCTTGAGGGTACCAACAACAAAAATAACATCCTTAAAATGTAAATTTCAAAACAAATACAATAAGCGTAAAAATAAAAAAATATAAAAAAATTTTGAAGAAGAAGAAGACAAAATGACACTTAAATCCTAAATCTTCAGATCTAACTTAGAACGAAAATAACACAAAATTACAAACAACAAATAACACTTTGAAACCCTAGATATCCGGTCAACCAATAGAAAATCAAAATAAATCTAAACATTAAAAAAAAAATATTTTGAAAGCACATAAACCATCATTTAAAAAAATAATACAAACAAAGAACTATAAAATGAAAAAAGGATACAAACTTTCCTGCAGGGAAAAATCAACTTCAAATATAGAAGTCCTAAATACCAAAGAAAAAATTGAAAATAAATAAAACAAATTAGTTTATACACAAAATAGGAATACACAAAAAAATAAAATAGAGAAGACCAAAAATAATTTTTGAACTTTCAACACTTTAACAGTTAGAAAACACATTCGAAGAGTAAATCTTGAGGTTACCAACAACAAAAATAACATCTTTAAAATGTAAATTTTAAAACACGGAAAATAAGTGTCAAAATAAAAATATATAAAAAAAAATTGAAGAAGAAGAAGACAAAAGGACATTGAAATCCTAAATCTTTAGGTCAAACTAGAAAGAAAATAACACAATATTACAAACAACAAATAACACTTTGAAACCCTAGATATCAAGTCAACCAATAGAAAGCCAAAATAAATCTAAACAATAAATAAAAAAATCAAAGAAGAACAGTTTGGAATCACATAAACCATCATTTAAAAAAAAAATACAAACAAAGAACAATAAAAGGAAAAAAGGAAACAAACTTACTCGTTGGGAAAAATCAACTTCAAATATTGAAGTCCTAAATACCAAGGAAAAAATTGAAAATAAATAAAACAAATTAGTTTTTACACAAAATAGGAATACACAGAAAAAGAAAATATAGAAGACCAAAAATAAATTTTGAACTTTCAACATTTTAACAGTATGAAAACACATTCGAAGAGTAAATCTTGAGGTTACCAACATAAAAAATAACATCTATAAAATGTAAATCTTAAAACAAAGACAATAAGCATAAAAATAAAAAAAATATTAAAAAAATTGAAGAAGAAGAGGACAAAAGGACACTAAAATCCTAAATCTTCAGATCTAACCTAGAAAGAAAATAACAAAAAATTACAAATAACAAATAACACTTCGAAACC